CCTTGCTTCATGGCTCAGAATTGTCCTTGGCCGATGTTCGTCCGCGGACTCTGCTGCGCCTCTTTGCCATCGGGGGTTTAGGGTTTAGGGTTTAGGGTTTTAGGGTTTTAGGGTTTTAGGGTTTAGGGTTTAGGGTTAGGGTTTAGGGTTTAGGGTTTAGGGCTGAGGGTGCAAGGGTTCAGGGTTGGGTTCGGGGTTCAGCGAATTAGCCTTGTATTTTGTTTTTGTTGCTTCTGGTTTTGCAAGGAAAGCCGCTCGTCCGGCCCGTACTCAAAAATCCAGAATCGGTTTGTTGCCAAGCCCATGGGGTCTAGAGGGTTTCGGGCTTCGCGTTTAAGATTCTAGAGCCTAGGTGCTATTTTCGGAATCAGAGGTTTGGGTTCAGAGCCCATGCTTCTGGTGATTAAAGTCTAGTGACATCGAGCTAGTTGGGCGCCGGTCATAAACTCAAGCTGATGGATGACGTCCTGGCACTTAGATGTGTTCACTGAGCCGGTGTCCTGCTCCAGAACGGGCGTCAAAGGAACACCCATCTTCTGTCCCTTTCCATCAAGGTGTGACCTGCCACGAGATTCTCACGCTGGCCGGCCAAGCTTGGCAGAAGTGTTTCATCTGAACCGTGCCCGCGACACCCGACAAATTGCAAGGGCCGGGCGGGAAATCCTCAGAAAAGCGTGCAAGCCACATGGAAATCAAGTCTTGTCTCCAGGCCCTTTCAAGTTCCGGACCCGGAGCGTAGTGCGCCACAACATTGCCCTGCCAGCGATCTTGTGAAAGACGACCATGTGAGGGCTTCCCTCTACATGAATTGGGAGGGCCGTACGTGGAACCCAAATTCAGAACAACCCCCCACCTAGATTGCTTCAGGCTCAACAAGGTGCCATTCTTTGTGGTTCAGGTTTAGCTCAGGGCTTAAGGTTCGAGATTTCTGCCTTCGGCTGGCTGGCTGGTTGTTAGTTGTTGTTTGGGCTCGGCTGGCCTGACACCCGCTTTCCTGTTTGAATCCGCATGAAATCAGATCGGCGACAAGACAGCCAGGGTTTAGGGTTGATAAACCCTAAACCCTAAACATCCCTAAACCATTCAAGGTTTCAGGGCATGAAAATGGAAGAACTTGCCTTTGGCATGACGGCGCCCCGAGCAGCACTTGGCGCCACCTGAGTTGCTGCTGTCTCTCTCTCTGGCAATACTTGAAAGATCCCCAAGCTTGCCTTCGTCTAGGCGATGATGATAAAGCCCCTGCTAGGCTTCTTAAAGGCAACCTACAATCAAGTAGGTCCGGGGATTCTTAAGGTGCATTACCAAAGGTTGCTCCCGAGTCACGTGCACCACGACATGAGTTCATCTGCGAGCCTTGTTCTGAGTCCTTGATATGGTTCTCCTCAAAAGCTATAGAACATCAATGTTGGCTTCACTTCGTGCTCGCGCGAAAGAAGCGATCCAGGTCAACTGTGTCACTACTCCCCAAGTCAATGCATACTGTAATACTTCAAGTGCACGCTGCGCGACATGGGGCCTTTACGATATTAGGGGTACCTTATTGGGGTCCTTCTTATCAGGGGATCCTACTATTTGGGGGTTTATATTCTCGTAAACGCCCACATCTGATGTTGGGTCGAAAGTGCACGCTGAGCGAGCGGCATTCAGTGGCCGGCCAGCAGCAGGTGTCGGGTCCCTTGTAGCGTCTTGGCACTGGATATGTTGCGTTCTGCACCTTACAAGATTATGCGTTCTTGATTCTGGCGCTTGTGGACAGTACCAGGGTGGGCTATCAGGCTTTAAAATCCCCATGATGAACCCTATACAGGGCCTTTTAGGGGATTATAGGGTATAATCGCCCATCCAGGTACACTCAATCGAGGTCATGCATGCTACGCCGCAGCCAGCCTCACCGACGGACCCTGAACATGGTGAACAGCTGCACCTGGTCCCGTAGCAAAGCAGAGCGCAAACCCTTAACCCTAAACCCCAAGGCCCTAAACCCTAAACCCTAAACCCTAAACCCTAAACCCTAAACCGTAAGGCCCTAAACGCTAAACCCTAAACACCAAACTTTCCCTCGATGGTTTCCGATCGGCAGCCTCTCGAAGCTGCCGAGGGCCCAATCTGCGCAGCCAAGCTATCCGCAACAAGTCTGTTCACGTGAAGCCGATGTGTGTGTGTGTGTGTGTGTGTGCGTGCGTGCGTGCGTGTGTGTGTGTGTGTGTGTGTGTGTGTGTGTGTGTGTGTAAACTCAGTAAAACACACACACACACACACACACACACACACACACACACACACACACACACACACACACACACACACACACACACACACACACACACACACGCAGACGGATCGGCACACATACACACACCGTATACATAGACAGAAACAGAAATAAACACAGAAAAACCATGAAACAAACAAATAAATGACTTTGTATACATATACATATATAGCGTAGATGAGCTGTGTGTTGTACGAACCTGTGAAAGCGGATGCCTGAGGCGAGCTAGCAACCTGCCGTGGTGATCGCGGTGCCGCCACCTGGCACACATCGCAGGCCAGAGCTGTCAATCTGGGGGTTTAAGAAAATCAGGGACCCATCAGGACCATAAACCCCCAAATAGTAAGATTCCCTTATGATAGGGAACCCAATAAGGTACCGATAATTTCGCAAATCCCCATATACCGTGAATGCCTGCGGCGAGCTCAGCCATCAGAGAGGCTGAACTTACCCGAGCGCGCGGCAGCAGCTGTTTTGTCTCTCTATGACTCTAATCTGCAAGCTTTCCACTCTAAGCGACGTCTCTTCTCCGACATCGGCAGCTTCGGCAGCTTCCTGACACGACGGAATCGCCAAAGTGTGCTTGCAGATTCTTTGTAGGCAGGCCCTACAGCTGACCTACCTAAACCCTAAACCCTAAACCCTAAACTAGTGTGGGCTGGCCTTGCTGGCTTTGCTGGTAAGCAGAGGCTCTCTTTCGCGCCAAACTTCGTCCTCACCACCGCTGTCACCCAGAGAGCCTGTGTCGACATGCTTAACATGCTTAAACATCATGCACTTCTGCACTTGGTAGCCCAGTAACCATATTATAATAAGGGCACCCTTTTTTGGGTTGGCTATTCTAAAAGGGAACCCATAAACAAAACAAAGGTAAAGGGTACCACTGGGCTACCAAGCGCATGTTGCCGTGGCCAAGAGCAGCCCACACCCAGCACCCCGGAGACGCCTAGATCACCCGGCTCATCTTGCGAGCGCTGCGTGCACACAATCTCCGTGTCGCTCAGATCTTCAAATGCCTGGCATGAGTGGAAGCCGAGCTTTCCGGAGAGATGACTGCAAAACGAGCCTTGCGACAGTAGACGTAAGGGTCGGGCAGTGACAGATGATAATGCAAACGCCCCAATGTTGTAGCCTCATCATCTTGCCCAAATGATAGGACAGACGGTAGCAAAACTGCATAACCAGTACCATAGAGTAGGTGACACATTGGTGTGGGCCATTTCAGCTTGAAGACTGTTGGGCAAAGTCAGTGCCACGAGGGATGCCGCAACTTCCAGCAGCACGACCAGGAAAAGGCCATCCTTGCCAGGGGGGAAAGCCCTCAACACTCCCAGGCCCATAAGCCCTGCGCCGTGAACTACCTGGCACGCGCAGCCTTTCTCTATGAATCTCCGAGGCAGACCCTGCAACCCTAGTTTTAGGGCCGCGCCTGGAGGCGTCCCACTGACTGCCCGCCTGCCTCGTAGACATGTCTTGAGGCCAGCAAGGCGGGGGTTTTGGTGGCTGGGGGGGGTTTAGGCGCTCATGTTTGGGTTTTAATGGCTTATAGGGTTGCTTGATGCCAGGATACCGGCAAGGTACAAGACTTGTAGGCTAGTTCTGCTAAGCCCAGTTCGCCGAATTACGGCTTTGATGCGTGGGACAGAATCACAATTGAGTCTCACCTCTCTTTACTTCGCCATCTACGCACATGTGGTCAAGCATGGTCCCTTGTTGAATCCCTGTCATCGTGCGCCCCCCCCCCCCCCCCCCCTGCACATTTGGTGAACTAACCATGTGCAAGCTCCCGGATAAGGCATCTTACCCTGAAGTTACAAATCATTCTCTGTTGCCAGCAAGGGGCACGAAATCCGCTGCCCAGCACAAGGCCGACTGCTGCATTTGCCAGAGCCTCGGAGAAAAAAAACAAACACACACCCACACACACACATCCGACTTGGCGTCCCACCTACACCCCTCAAAGATTGAACAAAAAGCTTTAAGCTCCTGAACCGCAAGCTCATGAACCCGTAAACCAAACATCCCGAAGCACTGAACTGCGAACTCCATAGGGGAGGATTCCCGGCAAGATTCGAGCCCATTTGGCGTCTCTAGTACTTTTACTACTATTTTAGTGTTCATATCCACTACACTACTCTTGCTATTATTTTGGTTCTTCCTAACATGCTTATGCTGTAGGGTGCCAAAGAAAGGGTCCACAACTTGAATCCACCTACTACAGGTCGAGGCCGCAGCCCTCAGTGCAGCGATCACGCCCTGTACCTGCCCGGCAGGCAGAGTGTTTCTATCCTAGAAAACCTGGCGAACGATGGAGCGATTGTAGCAACAATCACTGTAACAATAATCGCGGTAATAAGAGCATCACTAAGGAGTAAGAATACTACATGTAAAAGTTATAGCAGTAAGAAACCAAAGACACAATGTTTGAGTATATTACTTATGATACTATATTTTAGACATCTGCTATGCTACCGTTCCTCTTCGTTCTTCTATAGGGTCAGCAGGCCTTGCCCTGCTCCTCATCACCGACGAGATTTGCCTTCATGGCTGACATGAGGGGGGCGAACCTGGGCCGCGAGTTCAGCCGTAGTAAGTTCGGGTTCGGGTTTCGGGTTTCGGGTCTCGGGTCTCGGGTCTCGGATCTCGGGTCTCGGGTTTCGGGTTTAGAGTTTAGGGTTTAAGGTCTAAAGGCTGAAGCACTGTTGACTCAAGCTGTAGGTGCTTGGCATCAGCGCCGGTCCGCCCAAGACTGCATAGGCGAGCAGCACCTGCCAAAACTGCATGGCACGCGCAAAGGCTTCAGGGATTCATCATCGGGATGGGGTGATTAGAGGTGTGGGGTACAGTGTGTACGGTACAGGGTTGGCTGAACTACGCATCATGGCACCTGCCAGAAGGAATTGGAGGCGAGCGTGCACAGCGTGAGCAAGCCCGAGATTGGAAGAGATACCTCCCATCATGGAACTCAGAGCACTGAAATGCAGCAGCGGAATCCTCTCCCCGTAACATGTCGTCCACGGCCTTGTCAGGAATCAAAATCATTCACTCTTCGAGGGATGGGGGCTGCAACAATGCCGAGCCTTCAGGGCTGCTAGCTCACCCGATGCCTTTGCTAACCTCAGCTTCGCTGAGTGGCAGTTCTGGAAAGGGATTGAGGGCACAGGCATCGGCATGGGCATCGACGACTTGGCAACCGGGTTCCCAGCAGAGGCAACACGAAGACAAAGGAGATGACCATTCCAGGGATGGAGGCTGGGAGCAGCAGGGCAAAGTCAGCCTCTGCCACAGGCGTCAATACGTTGCACCATGGGTCCAAGGCTCTGTGCTTGCAGGATGAGCTGTGCTTGAGCTCCTTGCACAGAGGTTGTACAATGCAGAACGTACTATGAATCATGGTATTTCGGAAGTACATCAGCATCAAGTCGACTCTTGACAAGGTCAACAAGGTTGCTGTGCACCTTTGTGTTCAGAATAGTGCACAGGTGCCCATCGTGTGGGCCAGAACAGGTGTTGTTGCAGTCTCACCCCGCCGGGCCCCTTGTTGCGGCCTCTTGTTTCATGCCCTCTGGATAGTCGCGTGTCAGGTAGTTTGGACATTGCCGTTGCAAAAGGTACAGCAAAACCCCCGGCCCGCATCCTGCAACCAGCCAGACCAAGCAAAACAGGGCAAAACAACGTAGATGTCATTCAGAGGGCAAAGGTGCGCTGGATGTAATGGCTTCCAACATGAAGCTACACGTTGTCGCAGCATAGTCTGCCATACACGAGTGTAGGTCGACATGTTTCGCTACAAAAAACCTTGAACCCTGAACCCTAAACCGCGAAAGACTCTCGTAAGCACAGGGCTTCTTTCTTTGTCTGTGTCTTGCAAGCACAAATTGTCCACAGCAAAGCGCACCTTGTCTGCGCCCAAGTTGCTGGCAAGGTAGAACCTTATCATAGCACCACCTAGGGTTTAGGGTTTAGGGTGTAGGGTTTAGGGTTTAGGGTCACCACAGACCGTGCCTGCTCCTTGTTGACTCAAGAAAGCTCAGGCTGGGACTGGAGGAAGATATGTCGGCCTGTGACCCCGGCGCTGGCGAGGCAGAGCACCTCTGTGGAGTTCTACGGTATCGCTTCCGTCGACATGCAAGGGTGCTGCCTGGCACCTCAAGCTACCAGCACGTGCCATTATACCCTGTAATCCCTTAAAAAGGCCCTTTATAGGGTTCAATATGGAAATTTTAAGGCCTAATAGCCCATCCTGGTGGTCTTCGGAACCCTAAACCCTAAACCCTAAACCCTAAACCCTAAACCCTAAACCCTGCTGCAGTGCTCTGAGTCAGGCATCCTGCGATTCGCAACTGGGCAGCGCGCGATCGCCAAGCGCTGCATCACAGCATGGCGCCGGAGAATCCCCACACCCTCCTGCAGTCAATAATAATAATAATAATAATGGTAATAGTAATAATAATAATAATGGTAATAGTAATAATAATAATAATGGTAATAGTAATAATAATAATAATAATGGTAATAGCAATAATAATATTAATGGTAGTAGTAATAGTAGGAAAGCTAGTAATAGTAGTAGTGATAATAGTAATAATTGCAATACTAGTAAGGCAGGTGCTCCGGTCTTGAGAACTTCTGAAATCTGGAGACTTCCTGACCAGCATGCACTCCATCCTGGAGCATGTCGGGAATCTGGATCGACACGCCTCTTCAGACAGGAGTTCATGTCATTGAAGTGGGGTTTATATTTCTTGTACCCCCAAAAGGACACCCAATATATGCACTCACCAAATATTAAAAAAACGAACCTTATGTACACTCACCAAGAACAGTAATATAAACCCTAGCTCATGTAGCTTCGCCATGCAGGGTTCAGGTCTGCGAGCCTTCCATCTCTTCCGCTCCACGCCGGCCCGTCTCAGGCATGTGAAACAGCAAGAGGCCTGGGTCTTAGGGTTTCTATTGTTACTAGTATTACTATTAGTACTGTTATTAAAAATTAAAATACGAATTATTATTCGTACTATTTTTACTATACTATTTTTGCTATTCTAGGGTTTTCAAATGTTTTCAAAAAGGGTTCTGGGGAAGGCTCAAACATCTAGACAGGTGACGGGCTCAGCTTCTCCAAGTGCAGAAAAACACACAGGGCCAGCCAGACTGATGCATAAGCCAGCTGCCGAGCTTCAAAGTCGATATCAACAACACCTCGGACGGTCATGTCAGCAGATTCTTGGGTGGCCTAGCGAAGGGGAGCCGTCTGTAACACAAGACACGTCGCGCCTCTTCTACTAATCGAATCCCATTCAGTCTGAGGTGGTCCCAAATCACCCTAAACCCTAAACCCTAAACCCAAAACCCAACACCTCAAACACCCCAAAGACAACCCCTTGAGTTTGCCGAGCTGCAACCTGGGCTGCAGTACTGCTGGGCAAAGTGGAAGCCACGACCAGGCAAAGGCAAGCAACTCCTACGTGCATAAGCAGGGTTTAGGGTTTAGGGTTTAGGGTTTGGGGTTTGGGGTTTGGGGTTTAAGGGTTTGGGGTTTAGGGAAGTTCATGGCCGTATTACAGTATAGTACATACTATAACAAGCACAATAATAATCATAGAAGTAATAGTAGTAATAGTAAGAGATGTAATCATGATTCATGATGATCATGAGAAAAACTGGCAAATAGCCGCCCGCTATGCTCCCAGACGTGGTGGGACACTCCTGCAACAAAGGTACCCAGCATGCCAAGCGCCGTGGAGCGCTCCGCTTTGTGGTCCTCGCCGCCACAAGTGACGCAGGTTCGGCACATGGAACCCTAAACCCTAAACCCTAAACCCTAAATCCTATAAACCCTAAACCCTAAACCCTAAACCCTAAACCCTAAACCCTAAACCCTAAACCCTAAACCTTACCCAGCAAGCAACTTGAAAAGGTTGAACTGCTCCTGGGTGAGGTCTGCAAGCACCGCCAGCACGACGCCCGCAGCATCGATGCTGTGATCCATGGAATTCACCCATAGAAAGGGCCACAGGCTTGAACCTGAAATGTGGGCTAGGGTTGTTTAGGGTTGAGGGTTGAGGGTTGAGGGTTTAGGGTTTAGGGAGGCTTTGTGGTTTAGTGGTGTTGTTTTCAGTGCTAACTTCCCAATTCCCTCAAGGACCCGACCTGCATGTGTGGCGGAGAGCAGCAGCAGCGCGCTTGCCTCAGAAGCTTCTACTTCCTAACCCAAAGCCCAAGTCCGGTCTCAGTCTGAGAGGCGGACAACGTTAAGCAGCGCCTGGGACGTCTTTTCGGAGAAGAAACCGGCATGAACGAAGAAACAGCTACTACCACCCACCCATGATCACCAAGGGCCTCTGCCCAAAAACTGCCAGCAGAACAACATTTTCAATTGAAGGCACATCCCAGCACGGGTGTGGGTCTGCAGAGGCGTGCAGTCTTGCCTTCAGCTGGAGGAAAGGCTTTCGGCCATGTGAGTCGCCTGGAACAAGGCTGGAAGAAACCGCTCTCTCTGCCATGTTCTGCATGCTACGCATCCGCAATAGCCGGGGTCACTCAGAATTCCGAGCGAAAGAGCCGACGGCACAGCCAGAACCTGGGCAGCAACTATGCTGGGCCCTGAGATCCCTGAGATCGTCTCAAGGTGCTGGACAGCTGTCCCATCTGGGGTGCTTGCGCCAGCTAGTCCTTCTAGCAGAGCGTCCTTACAGGGCAAACTGCACTTTGCAGCAGATTGGCTTTTTAGGGTTTAGGGTTTAGTTGCCTCTGTCTCGGCTGAGGTTGATTATAACCTGACGAGGCACCCAGTAGGCAGCATCCGCTGTTCCAACCTGACCAGCTCTTCTGTCGTTTCCCAGTATTTTGGCACAAATGCGAGGACAGCTGCCAGCAGCAGGCGAGCTGACGATGAAGGTGCTGTGTCGAGATGGCCATGTCAATAGAAGCTAACACCGGTTTAGGGTTTAGGGTTTAGGGTTTAGGGTGTAGGGTTTAGGGTTTAGAGTTTAGGGTTTAGGGTTTAGGGTTTAGCAGGCCTTGCACAGGAGCTGCTTTGGCGTCCGGGCGCAGTTGATGTTCCACCTCGGCCAGGTGAGGCTCACGAACCCCACGGACTCGTCACTCTACGCAGCCGAGCAATTTAAACACGCAAACCCCCCCTAAACCCCCCTAAACCCCCCTAAACCCCCCTAAACCCCAAACCCTAGACCCAAAACTGCATAAACCGCCGAAACCCTAAGCCCTAAACCGGCAAAACCCTAAACCCTCAACCCTAAACCCCAAACCCTAAACCCTAAACCCTGAACCCTAAACCTTCTGAACCCATCCTTCCAAGGCCGGACCGTGAAGTGGACTTTGCTTCTCCAGCAGCTGCATGGGCCTGAGCCAATCGCCTCTCTGCCTGAGGGTAAACCAATGCAGGTTTAGGGTTTAGGGTTTAGGGTTTAGGGTTTAGGGTTTAGGGTCCTAATATTCAACCCCCTGGAAAATAGAGCTTTGCGACAGTCGCGGTACCTTGCTGGGGTCCTTATCATAAGGGGATCTTACTATTTGGGGATCTATATTGGGGGTCCCCTATTTTCGTAAACCCCCATTGTTCAGCACTCTAAACCCCGATGGCCTTACAGCTCTTGGGATTTGGGCGTTTTGGCAACATGCAAGATTCTACCCTAAACCCTAAACCCTAAACCCTAAACCCTAAACCCTAAACCCTAAACCCTAAACCCTAACCCCCCCCCCCCATGCAGCTCAGCTGCAAAGAAGGTCGTCTTGATGAACGGAAGCTGCGTGTACAATACGGAAGCCTCCGCCGCTGTCAGCGCAGCCTGCTGCGACCGTGTCTTACAAGCCTTGCCGTCTTTAAGCAGATTCCCGTGCTGGTGAAGAGGACTTGAGGTTTAGGGGGTTTAGGGTTTAGGGTTTAGGGTTTAGGGTTTAGGGTTTAGGGTTTAGGGTTTAGGGTTTAGGGTTTAGGATGATTCGTACCGCATGGTGAATGCAGTGGTGCTGCTGGTCATCGCAGCCAGTGCGAGGAGTGGCCCCATGGTGCCCCATGGTGCCCCTGGTGCCTTCAAAAAAACGACTCCGCCACTTGAGCTGATGCTTTCCCTTTTTCAACAGATTGGACGGCACTTCGGCCAACAACTTGCAACTTTGTGCAAGCTGCAAGCACAGGAACCTGGCTCCCTGCGGGTACATCAGAGGCTCATAAGAGGAAACACAGCCTCAGCCAGCACCCAGGCTGGTCATGAGTAGTCGCCGCATGATGTGGAGAAGGCACATGGCCGCCCAATCTTTGGGCAGCCAGGAGGACTTTGCACAAGTCAACGGATGAACATGCGCGCTGGCTCGTCCTTTGCCGAGCCTGTGAGGGGAATGATCAACCCTTTCAAAGCTCTGATTTGCGGCATGAGCTCGAAGATTTCGCTTCATCGACCTGACAGTCTGACAGCATTTTGGGTCTGTTTTTGCCAGTTTCCTGCTTCTGCATCTCAATGACGAAGCTTTTATACTCAGAATCGTCACGAAGAGTAAAGACAGGACACGCACCTTGGTGCCCGTTTCTTCATCGTCCACTGAATCTGTAGCTGGGCTCACCTGGCTGTAGTCTTCCTGGCCAAAGGACAAGGCAGAAGCTGATTCTGGCATGTGGTTACATTTGGTCACGAAGTGCAACATTTGTGCCGAGTTCACCTTGTCGTTCTTCGACATCTTGTTCAACGCATACCTCGCAGTATGGCAGCCGAAAATAGTCGAAAGCCGAGCAGCTCCATTCAGTCGTTATCGCTAAGGCGAACTGCAGATTGCTGTGGGAGATATGTAATTTCTCTAAAATATGGCCCCTTTTGGGGTCCGTATTTTCTCAAGCGGCCCATTAAGAGTACCCAAAAAGGGACCGTCATTCAGGGAACTGACCATATGCAGGACGCAGCATCTGAGCAACAGGCAGTGTGATGGCCAGCAGCGCGACAGAGGCGCCCAGCACCGTTCGCAAGCTGGGCCGAGCATCAAAGAACAGCCATCCACCAAGAAGAACCTGCAGATGATTCGATGATGCACCCCCAAAACCCAAAACCCCAAAAAAACCCAAAACACCAAAAACAACCCAAAGAAAAAAACCAAAAAACCCAAAAACCCTAAACCCTAAACGCCCCAAAAGCCCTAAACCCTCAAACGGACGTCAAACTTCGCTCGGCGGATGCTGTGTATCCGAGGCACCAGTATCGTCTTGAGCTGACCCAGCCTCGGTGCTCAATAGAATTGAAAATTAAGGGGGTTTAGGGTTTAGGGTTTAGTGCTAATTAAGGGGGTTTAGGGTTTAGGGTTTAGGGTTTCGGGCGAATTAAGGGGGTTTAGGGTTTAGGGTTGTAGGGTTGTAGGGTTTTAGGGTTTTAGGGTTATAGGGTTTTAGGGTTTTTAGGGTTTGGGGTACTGGGCTTCAATTTCTGTGTGGGGCGTGTTTTTTGTTTTGTAGAGGGCTTTTGGGGCTTGTAGAGTTGAGGTTCTTCAGGGCCTGTAGGATTCCTAGGGTTCAGTCTTCAGATGTGAGTTGAAGAGGCTTTCAGGAAATGAGGCAGCCATGGGGCAGGATGTGAGCGATGGGGGATGTCAAGCCCAGGACCTCAGTGTTCTCTTTTTTTACCTCCTCAGGAAGAGGGTACTTCTCTCGCCACACGCTTGGCCCCAGAAGGGCGCACAAAGTCCCAGGGTTTGCTTGTGATGCCATCTCACGCTCTCTCTCTCTCTCTCTCTCTCTCTCTCTCTCTCTCTCGGTCTTACTTTTGTGGGGCATGGGGGTCACCCTCTGGCACTCTCTCTCTCTCTCAACTCTCTCTCTCTCGCTCGCTCCCTCACCCATACAAGAGCGATTGCAAGGCGATAATTTCGGAATGTTGCCATTCGCACCCGAGAGGCCCAGGTGGAGGACACGTTTGCAAGCATGCCGCAGCATGATGAGAGTAGTATGGCAAAGCAGCGGCTGCTGCTCGCCTGATATGCGAGGATGTCCGTCCGGTCCTGTCCAAAGTCGCAGACAAGGTTCCGGGTTTAGAAAAATACAATTGCACTGGAACAGTGGAGCAAAGTATGTCCTCCAGTACGATCGCACTGGTTAAGGTAATCAGACCCATCCATGGCATTGCAAAGTCCAACAGCTGGAGTGGTGAAAGCTTCACTGACGTGTACCTGAGCTATGGTCATGAGCCTCTGCCCACAACACTGCGTGCTTGCACCAACACACCATGAAAAAAAACCGACGGGTTATTACGGGAAAACCCAGCAGCAGGCAATTGGATCCCAAAACCTCTGGAAACTGTGGCGGCTGTGGCAGGATTCCTCCCGCTGCTGGTCAGGATTCTGTCAACACGCAGAGCTGCAACGATGTTCTATCTTCCGTCGTGCTCACCCAGCTAAAAACTTTGGGGATCTTTGACTTTGAAACGTCCCCGATGCATAGTGCCGCCAAGCCGCTGAACAACATGGGTGGTCAAACCTCGATCGACTTCGAGAGTCTATGCACGTCAGCTTCCATGCATCTGAAATGCGCGTGGGGATTCATCTCCGAATTTTCGCCCGGGGCCACGACCCTTTTGGACAACCTGAGCAGTTCAAGGAAAGCATGAGGCATTGGTAGAATCGGGATTTGGTGGTGTGTACGTCGTTATGATCTCGGGCTGGTGTGCTGCTGATTAATTACGCCAGAATGAAGGCTTGCTAGAGGTAGTGGTAGTCGCAGCGCATACAGGGCTGTACGCTGCGACATACTCCCTTTAGAACCAGTATACTCATAGGTGTTTTTTATTTGCTTTTTTTATATAAACCAAAACACTGTTCCCAAGAAACTACAGTGTGCAAGTTCTGAGGGACCGGAGGAATGCGATGCATGCGACGCCGAGTAGCCGCAAACAGCGTCGACAGTAGCGCTACTGCCAGACCCAAACCTGAATCGCCAGATTTCTTTCTATACATGATGCACAATTTGAATATTCTATATATATATATATGTATATATATATGTATATATATATATATGTACTGTTGCATCACCCAGTATTTGTGCGTAACTTTAGAAGTTTAAACGGTAACCTATATCTCCTACCAGGCTTTCTGCTGTGCTTCGGGCGGCTCGCAGGCTGCGCAGGCTGCTGGGCACTCACTCAGTACATGCCGAGACTCTGGTGACTTCGCCATTCTGAAGGCCAGAAACGGTGCACTGGCTGATGCCGAACACTGCGAACGTAAGCAGAGCGGCTTGCCCTCAGAAGGCCAGGTACATGTATTGGGTTTGGGGTTTGGGGTTTAGGGTTTAGGGTTTAGGGTATCAAGTTAGAGCTTGGATTGCGCTGAGTGCCGTCGAGCTACATGAAGAAGGCTTTCTGCTGTACATGAGGTAATCCCACAGAACCGCCAGAGGCGTCATCAGCAACCTTAGATTTGGCGGAATCTCTGCATTGGGCATCGACTGGCTTCTGTTTCATGTCGAGTACGGTGTTGATGAAGCAAGCACTGTGTTAGCATGTTTCGCTCCAGCGACCTGCCCGCACTTGTTGCTCACCAAATGGGGGGTTTCCGAAATTAGGGGGTCCCTATTATAAGGGAATCTTACTATTTGGGGGTCTATGTTTGGGGTCCCTTGTTTTAGTTTCGTAGACTCCCAAATCAGGCCAGCACAGCAGGCAAGCAGCTTCACCATTTGGTACATGCCGACGGAGTTCTGGGACAACGACGCATTGGATGCGATGTTGTATAGGCTCCATACCACAATCCTGGAAAGAATCTCCGCTGAACGACTCGGTTTTGCTAGCTGCTACGCAGCAAATGCACAACGAAGCTGATGCTGAAGAGACATTGCACGTTGATGCAAATTCAAGATGGCCTGACTTTAGAGTTGTATTAGCAGGAAGGTGATCACCTCTGCCAGTTGCAACAAAGCTAACCCAGCGATTGCATGTGTATCCCACTCTCCCTCCCACTCTCCCTCTCACTCTCCCTCTCACTCTCCCTTCCCCTCCCTACCCCTCCGCTCCCCCTCCCTCTCCCCTCTTCTCACCCCCTCACGCACCAGGACCCACCACTTGAACTAGTGTTGTGTTGGGCCCAGCGTTGCACGTTGAAACAAAGTGATCCTTCTGAAAGTTGCCTTCTTTCGTGTTTGGGTAGCCGCCCGCTTGAAACAGTTTTTTGTTTACAAACTCCATGCTAATCATGCGATGCTCTCAGAACAGATGCGCCGCCAAGCATCAAGCAGCCGACTGCCTTAGATGCCAGGCCATGAAGCGGATACGCCGGAGTCCGCAGCTTGCCCCAAACACTGCAACCAATGCCGACCACGTGACTTTTGTAGGGCTGTCGGCCTTTGAAGATGAGAGCAGCTGAAATGACATTGTCCTGGGGCGGTGTTCATGAGGTCTGCTTCATGATTTTGCTTCCATTTCGATCACACTGCCAACAAACAGAAGTAGCCATGGACAAGGCACTCATAGGCGCCAAGTCTTGCTAGCAGCCGAACTGTGAGCCAGGTGAACACATAGTGGCAGATGGTTAGCGCCACCGGAAAGTGGAACTGAGCGTGGGTGAAAACCAGCTTGTTACCTGAGTTGCGGATCACATCACGTCGATAACTATTTGCAGGATTTCAGCTGACCTTGTTAAAGCAGTTTATATATATATATATATATATATATATATGATTTGTATTGTTCTTGTCATTGTTAATATTGTTCTGCATATATATATATATATCTATACACAAGTTCTTATTGTTACTTTTAATACTACTATTACTACAGTATTATCACTAGTGCTATGAATATTGAGGCCACAGAGAGGAGACTAAATGCCAGGCTGCTCAGCACCGTCGCAGGGCCACTTGCGAAGTTGCAAATGAAGGCCAAGCACACGCGCAGGAGTGCAATCATGGCATCCGGGGGTTCTAAAAAAAAATGATCTTTCACTATCTTACTTTGAAATATTACTTTCTCACATAACATGATACTACTATGAATGTTCTAGCGCGGCCCAGGCCGCGTGAATCTGAACACTCAGCCTGAGAATGCAGCAACGACACATCACTGGTGTGCAATGCTTCGTTCTGAACATCAATCTGATCCAGGTTGGCCAATAATCGGCATGTCTGCTGGCACTAGCTGCAGGGACGCTGCCAGACGACCACGGCGACAAATAGCAAGTCACAAGTAGCAAGAGCACGACATTCAGGGAAGAAATAAACGGCGTCAGCAGCACGAAAGGGAGAATGGGCCACAAACAAGCGACTGCTTGACTGTGCTGCAGCCATCTTTGGCCTGCCGAGAAAGTCGTGGAGTGCGGCTGATGGGTTGAGGGCTTAGGGTTTAGGGCTTAAGGCTTAGAAGTTTAAGGTTCCCCCCCCCCCCCCCCCCCCCCCCCCCCCCCCCCCCCCTCCCACTTTTGCTGATAGATTCAAGACCGACCCCGCCCCCCTTCCCCAAATCCTGTGAAACATTCAATCCTGACCCCCCCCACCTCCCTTTCTAGATCCTGAGTTGTTTTACAACTCCGAGGAATTCGACCGGTCCCCCTCATCACGCCTAGCTACGCTAGATTTCGTGAGTACACACACATACATATATATATATATATGATGGCGATGATGGCTATAGTTTTTGTTCCTATTGGTATGAACGCATGCCTATCCAGGCAGTCTAGCTGCAATTCGTACCGGGAAGAATTTCCAAACCTCTGCGTATCAAGCACTAGTCGTGACAGAACGCATTTGGGCCACCTCGATGGTGAGGCTATTGGAGGATTCTCAAATTGGGCCCCGTTTTTTGGAGAACCTTTTTCGAAAGCCTTGGGGAAGAGGTATCTCTAAGGCTCTAAGGGCGCCCGAATTTCTGGAACAACTCTCATTGTACTTGCAAGCCGTCAGTTGACTCTGCCCTGTGATGGTGCCAAGTCCGGGACCCAATCTCCGAGTTTAGAGGGAGGGGGAGAGGAGGGCTTCGGAAGCGGTTGGCAGGGGCTATCAACAAAAGTGCTTACAATGATGAGAAGCGAAGAAAGACAACAGGATCCACGCATGATGCGAGGGCCTGCCAGTAGCTGCATGATGGCGAGCATCACCTCCTTGCCAGGTGAAAGAAACGTGTGATCTCTGCAGCCAAAATCCCAACATGGTAGCAACTTTGCCCCTCCCGCAATGGGAACTGCACAAACTCTGCTGTCATGCAGCTCCTGAGCGTGGAGTTGTTCTCAACACGCACAGACCATGGCACACTTCTTTGGTGCGGCATGTCGATGCACTTGAGACGCTGTCTTGCATAATATGTCTACGGGGCCAATTTCCAATGCTTTGGGCTTTGTGGCATCGCAACTTCAGTGAGCCTAAATGCCGGAAGCAAGGATATGCAGAATGCCCCTCTTCATCTCCAGCAGCCAGGCAAATCAGCTGAATTGAGCCTTCAGAGCCCTGACAGCCCTGCCCCTTCACCAAACAAGACAGCCCACGTGTGGCGTTGCCACCTTGCGAAGGCGAAGTGCTGCAACAAGAATGGCTGACAAGCGACTCTAGCGTTTTCCGCAACATCAAAAAAAACACCCATGTGCCAGCTTCACACATGTCGCCGAGGTGCACATGCAATGCAGATCACAAATCCGCCCCGGACCTTGCGAACCGGCCGCCCAGCAGGTGTAGGCGAACCCGGAGTTGGCATTGGGAAAGGCCCTGGCGCAGTACGACAGATCTTGGCTGATTGAGTGGACATGGGTGTATGCCTGGAACGTTGATGCCGGCGCCGGCGCAGTGTGCAGGGTACCTCTCTGAAAGTGCACCAGCCAGCGAGTACCAGACACCCTAAACCCTTTACCCTAAACCCTAAACTGCTCATGTCTGCACGGGCACGGGGCTCTTCCAGCGAATGGGGCCTGGGCCAAGGCTTTGGCTGCAGAGCTGCCAGTCTCCACTTCTACTGACGCTGTCGCCTGCGGCCGCCGGTGGCCTTCGGCCTAAGTCTGATCAGTCTATAGAGAGGAAATCGGGGAGATCCATCTACGAGTGCTGTCGAACCTTGGCACACGAGAGCGTCCCCGAGGGCTGAGCAATTGGAGAGGGCTGTCGGCCCGGACCTCGAGAAGGCCCGTTTCCGAAGCTCTGACTGGGTCCATAGGGTTGAGGGCCTGTAGATGTGCTTCATCATGTCCACTGGTGTCTGTGCTGGGTCGCAGGTCTCTTATGGTTTTGCTGCGGGGCAGCGGTTTAGGGTTTATAGGCACACTCTTCTGCAAGGGCAAAGCGGGGCGCGGGGGGGGGGGGGGGGGATCGTTCCAATCTGTCCACTCTGTGTGCATCGCATCATGCAATCTGATTACATCTGAGCGCATGGCATGGCGCTACAGCCTCGTGTGCGAAGCATAATCGCACGCCAACCAATGTATCCAATGCACAGTGCAAGAATGCTGATTTTCTGGGACCTGATCTGCATCATAGGCCCTTTCAGCACCCTAGACTTTAAGGAGCATCCATAACCGAGAATCCTCAAAAGGGCCCACAACATAGATCAAATCCAGTGTGTTATCGAGCCGGCTGCCCGCATCTCATAGTGTGCCACCTGGCTGCGTGGCACTGAAGACTTTACATGCGCATGTAGTATGACTTCCGGAAAATGAGCCATGACAATAAACAACAAAACAAAAGTGGATCAAAGTGGGCAAAGACATGGCGCAGAGGTGCACAGCAACACACCCTGAACTTCCCCAACCCGAAACTCGAACCCCAAATGCCCGACATACTTGAGCAGGCAGGGCCCACCATCCCTTAAAACTCTCTAGGCCCTTGGCCCGAAGCCCCTACCTGGATGGGCTATTATACCCTATAATCCCTTAAAAGGCCCTTTACATGGGGATTCTAAGGCCTAATAGCCCATGCTGGTAAGCCCTAAACCCTAAACCCTAAACCCTAAACCTTAAACCCTAAACCCTGTAAAGGTAAGCCCTCACTGAGTTTCTGGCATGTGCTCGGCAGCCGCCAGGGTGAATCCCGAGCTCGGGTCGAGACAGACTCTTGGGCATGCCTCTCCAGAACAATGCTCTTGGCAGTCTGCGCGCCCCCCGCATATTTTTGAGCTTGCCCTAAACCCTAAACCCTAAACCCTACACGCTAAACCGCAGGGCCCTTCGGGATGCTCACGAGGCCCAGGGCAGGATACATAGAAGCTGCAGCACTGGTTGGTGCCTGCATGTGGAGCCACTGCCGCTGACACCTTGGGGTTTTAGGGTTTAGGGTTAGGGTGTAGGGTTTAGGGTTTAGGGTGAAGGGTTTAGGGTTTCGGGCAATGGCACATGAAGTCCCTTTTAGGGGGGGCAGCATAGGTTCCCCTCATCCTAAACGTCCTTGTAGGCCTCTTATGAACCAAAAAAGGGGCCGCCCTTGTCATTCCTAGGTTACCCTTGGGTCTAAAAACACTGCACTGTGCAACCTTAGGAGCTTTCCCTGAAGTTAGCTGAGAGTTGATCCAAATTCTGGATCCCTCCTGGGGTTTCTGCCACTTGTCTGGTAGGCTCATGGTAACTCCCTGGATGGGCTGTTATACCCTATAATCCCTTAAAAAAGGCCCTTTATAGGGTTCATTATGGGGATTTTAAGGCCTAACAGCCCATCCTGGTCAGGGTACTGAAGGGCACACGACTCATTGTAGTCTAGAGGGTTTATAGGGTTTAGGGCTTAGGGTACTTTAAGAAGGGGCCCTGAGTCAGATCAACCCGCCCCCCCTGGGAACCTGACCGGATATGTCTGAGACGGGACTGGCCTGGGCTGCGCGATGTTTTTAGGGTTTAGGGTTAGGGTTTAGGGTTGAGGGTTGAGGGTTTAGGGTTTAGGGTTTGATCGGGTTTAGGGTTTAGCGCTAGCGCATGTAATCAAGTGCTCATTCCCTTCTTGGCTATAGGAGCTGTTGCCAAAGGAGTCGACTTTAGGGTCTCCAAAGGACGCACTTCAATCCGTCCATCCGCTTTCAGGCTTATAGGGCTCAAGGTTTCACCATGAAACCAGGCATTAGGAGACCGTGCTCTGTGCATCCTGTCCTGCAAATCCTGAACGCTCGCCCCATGACCCCCTCAAAGACCGTTGTCTCCTGTCGTTTATGATATAGAACAGACGACAGTTTAGCATACTTGTTCGAGGTGTATTCCTGATGTTGGGCAAGGAGCGTGCTATTGAAGGAATGCTCACATTTCGGCCGCGGGACGAGGGCAAGTCCGGCAGGGGCTCCAGGCAAGGCGGTTTGCCCGCCTCGTGCTGAGATGTCTGGACCAAGCTTTGAGGGTCTTATTCAGAAAGTCCCGAGATTACAGGAAAAAAAGCCCTTGTTTGTCCCCAACCCACCCGACTACTTTCCAATCAGTGCCCAGCCATAGAACAAGTCGGGGCTTGAAGACACCAACATGGGCAGCCCAAACAAGTAGGGTTTAGGGTCCAGAGGGGTTTAGGGTTCATTAGGGGTTTAGGGTTTAGGGAGGAGCAAGTTTGGGAGGAAGCTCCCGAGACTTCAAAAATAGGACCGACGCCCCAGCCTAACGCCTATACCTGAAGCACCACAGCTCGAAGTTCCAAAACGCAGAGTCGAAAGCAAACAGTAGACCACCTAGCCCTACAGCCTGAACCCCGCGTGAAAGCCCTAGTGCCAACAAACCCTAAATGTTCAATGCTGGCTTCGGGAATCGAGGGCCTGCTTCGGCTTCTGGAAATGGGCTTCCAGCCAATGATGCTGCAGCACCTGCCCGGGTCCCTTGCGGGAACTCCCCACGCATGGAGGCCTGCATCTAAAGAAGGGAAAGGGCAGCAATGACTGCGCTGGACAGACACACTCTTTCCCCTCCCCTCCCCTCCCCCCCCACACAACCCAACTCAGGCGCCTTAGCCGCGCCATCCCGTTGTCCGGGATAGCGCTGCAGCATGGCATGAACCAGGTGGCACGCCTGCGTGGCAGGGAGAGTGGTTCATGATCCGCTCAGCTTCTCTTCGCACAACCGCGCCTGGCTGGGAAACCACGGCGGAAATCCGTAGTCCACCTTCTGAGGGTTGCCAAAGATGAGGGATACCCTATCTGGGGTTTCTGATCTCAAGGATGAGTCTCTGTCTATCTCTTTTTTTGCATATATTATACATATGTATATATGTGTGTAGTGCTAGCTAGGTGTTCAGGGAAACACACTTTTCAAGACCATGCAAGCAGGCATGCTGAACATGACTGTCTTTGTAGCCCAGCAACCAAACACCATAATCAGGGTACCCTTTCTGGGGTTGGTAACGTTGTAAGGGAACCTAGAACCGAAAACGGCGCAAAGGGTTACCGCTGGGCTACCAAGCTATTATTCTCATTATTACTGGAACCCTAAACCCTAAACCCTAACCCCATAAACCCTATCCCCAAAACCCTAAACCCTAAACCCTAAACCCAAATGCCAAACCCTCCAGCCTTGTGGACCCTGAGCTGGAATGCCTCGCTGGTCGTGGTGTTGCGCCCGCCTCAGCGTTGCTCAGAGCCACGGCGTCAAGTTATTTCACGCCACTGCTCGCCTTCAAACCCAAAACGATATAAACCGTAAACCTCATAAACCCTATAAGCCTTAAGCCCTCTAAACCCTATACCCTGAACCCTGAACCCTAAACATTGTAAACCCTAAACCCTATAAACCCTCAGCCCTGAACCCTAAACGTGAGTTCGGACAAGCTGCTCTGGCTGACGAAGGGCGTCACGCCGGTAAGGAACTGGCGCAAAAGCGATATGTGGCACGGTAAACATGAGCATGGTTTTTTAACACGCGGATCTGGGCAATTACAGAGTTTGGGAATTCGAGGGTCTTGTTACAAGCTTTTTTCGTGACTTTGGATTGCAGTTTGTGAGGTACCGGGTAAGGCATGCGGTTCAAGGCGCAAGCCCTTCGATGCCTGTAGCCTTGGTGGCGAGAAGTACAGCCAGACTGCACCGCGCAACTTGGTACAGTAGGGGTACCTTATTGGGGTCCTTATGATACGGGAATCCTACCATTTGGGGATCTTTGCTACCGGGGTCCCCTATCTTCGTCAAAACGCCCACTTTGAGTCGCCAAAAGGCTTCACACAGGGTCCAGGGGCCCGAGGGTGGACTTGGAGTTCGACTCCCTGGTCCCAACCTCGGTGCTCAACCCCCCCCCCCCCCCTTTCCCCTCGGCCAGAATTGTCATTTCTTAGTTGTGGCATTGTATAGGGTCTGCGCCAATGTCGCCCCAAATTTTGGCTGCTGAACTGCGACGTGCGTGTTGACGGAACATCGGTTCCTGCTTGCGTTCCCAGGTGCTGCAGAGCAAGCGCGGCAGGCTCTCCCAAGCTTGCCGCCTAACTTTGCCCATGCCACCATAATATCCCTAAACCCTAAACCCTAAACCCTAAACCCTGAACCCTAAACCCTAAACCCTGAACCCTAAACCCCAAAGCCCTGAACCCTAAGCCGGTGAGAGCCCGCGCCTCGTAGAGCGTGATCCCCAGGCTCCAAACGTCCGCTGCAGCGCCATGCCCTTCGCCAAAGATGACCTTTCGGGGCTTTTGGGGGGGCTTCAGGGTTTTAGGGATGTGTTTCTGGAGAGAATTGCTTGAGCATGGCTATTCCGAATATGAACTTTGAGAATTTTGGCAATTTTGGGGCAACTGTTCCTTGCGAATGTTGGTACATGTTCCACCAGATGTGGTACCAGTCACCCTCAGAGACGTTCCAACATGGCCTCTCTCATTGCTGAGGTTACTCGAAGCAAGGTGCAACTCAAGCAGCATTACTCTACCAACACTTTGATAGATTATTGGACTTTTCTACTCCCATATTTTGTTAGACCCTGCTAGTCACTAATACTGATATAAGAACAAAAGATTATGTACCATAAGGCTTATAGTACATAATCTTTTGTTGTTATATTAGAATTAGTGTTCCCCTTGTCTGGGCGCCTCGGGAGCCATGTAGTCGAAGGTACCGCAGAAGGTCCTACCAGAAGGCTGACGGCGATGTACTCCCCATGGCATGCTCTTTGGCCATTTAGAGTTTAGAGTTTAGGGTTTAGGGCTAGGGTTTAGGGTTTAGGGTTTAGGGTTTGGGGTTTAGGGCTTAGGGCTTAGGGTTTAGGGTTTAGGGTCTAGGGTTTGCAAGATGACACAGCCTAACAAGTCTTTCATGCAGCCATCTGAGGTGGAGCCTTCGCGGACCGTCGTGCAGCTCTGCACACCACCCGAAGTCGCAGATCTGGCAGAGCACACAGAGGCAGCGAGAATAACTTGGGGTTTCCGAAATATAAAAAAAAAGTACCCTTTTTGGGGGTCCCTTTCAGGGGATTCTATAATGGAATTCTATTCGGTATAAAAGGGGACCACTGTCTGAGGAAACGCCCACTTCTGCTGAATAAGTCTGAGCCTTTGGGCAGTGCCCGACAATCAAGATGTTGTCGGGCTTCAGATCTCGGTGCACACAACCTTGGCAATGCTCAGCATCACAAGCAAAACTGCACTCTGTCGCGGCTACGTATCCTTAAGACTGCAGCCGTTCTGGTGGAGGTAGGCGACGCCGTCGACGACCTGGCCAAGAGACCCAGGATGGATGGCTGCAATACCATTAGCACAGAGTCCGTAAATGTCAATTGACGTCTCCTAACTCAACTCCAGACCGTGAGCCCAATCCAAGCGTTAAAGACGGTATAGGAGCTTGCACGCTCCTTTCAACTTGAGCCTCTGAAATATACATGGTATGCGCACCCGACCTCGCCACCAGAAAATCCCTGACACATCCCCTGCCACACCAGACGACACCCTTGACCCGTCTTTGCGGTGTTGGGCTGGAGGTAGAAAGCACGCGTGAACAAAACCCGCCCGCGTAACCACATCAGCGCCACTCCCACCATCGTCATCTCCGCCACGACAATCCGAAGCTGTCCGAAACCACCGCCACCACTACAGCCGTCACCAATACAGCACCGCCAACATAACCCAGACCCCCGCACCCACCCCTGGCTCAAAATGATGATTGTGCCGGCAAGGATGCTGATGACTCTCCTGACATGTGACCTTGAGAATGTTGATTCTTTGTCATGGTTCGATGAGGATGATGATGAGGATGAGCATGATGAGGAGGATGATGATGGCGGCGATGATCATGAAGGCGCATGAAGGGCGGCAGGGAAATCTGCTCTTCTTGTTTGTAAGGGGGGGGGGGGGGGGGGGGGGGGGGGGGGGGGGGCGCGGGCGTTTAAGTGGTGGAGGTTGGTGGTCATGATCATTGTTTGCATCTTCAGGCCTTGCGGAATCATTACCACTGTCGCGTCGTCGACATTGTCGTCATGAGCACATTCTGAGGCAACACCACATTTGCGTCGTGATGTGTGCATGCTGATGATGACGCAGGCAATGGTGCACAAAATAGCATGATGCACACATCGCTCTTGATTACGGATGATGATGGCGATGACGATGATGATAATGACGATGGTGATGGTGATGGTGATGGTGGTGGTGGTGATGGTGATGGTGATGGTGATGATGCTGATGATGCTGATGATGATGATGATGATGATGATGTTGCCCCACGCTGCATCTGATGATCATATCAATAGCTCACAGCTTTCCAAACATTATCCAGCTCTACCTGCTAAAGCAAGTAAAGCAAGAAATTTAACAAGCCTGTAGCTCCTCTAAACCCGAAACCCTGATCCCGAAACCCTAAACCCGAAGTAGGCTTTCTGACAACTCCCCGCCCCCCCCCCCCCCACCCCCAGCCTGGCCGAACAGCCAACCAGCTTGATGTTCTCGAAGCCGTCTGTAAGGGTGTCTGCTCAGCAGGTTCATCAAGCGATTCGCAAGCTCCAGGACCATATACCAGTGAGTGTCGTCCTGGCAGATCATACAACGATTTCACACTCCATCGGGAGCAGTGCGTGCATGCGTGCACGTGAGCGTTTGATGTTGTTCTTCTTTGTCTTTATTCCGCTAGTTATGTATCTTGCTTACTCACCACTTCTCTTGCCATGAGTCAAAACTTAGTCTCTTGATGTCTCGACTCTGCTCCTTCTTTCGTATTTGCAGCCTGTTCAAAAGCAGAAATGCTGATTCACGATCTTTGGAGCCAGCATGCAAGCCGAGGTGCTGTAATTGCAGCCTGTGAACAGTCACAAGGGGGGTTTGCGATATTCGGGGTACCTTATTGGGGTCCTTATTGTTTTCGTAAACCCCCACATACAGAAATGTACCAGTACTTGTAAGCCGTGCAGATTTGTAAGCGAGTGCAGAGTTGTAAGCAGAGCCCTGGTGCAGGCAGGTGCAGGCATGCGGTTTAGGGTTTAGGGTTGAGGGTTTACTTCGATTTCTGAAACTGCTTATGTAGGCTTTCCTGAGACTAGTGGACACCCGCGCATAGGGCCGCTGCAGGACCATGCTTTGTAAAGCACAGCACCCCGTACAGATTTGCAAGCACGTGCAGAGTTGTAAGCAGGCATAGCAGGGCCCCGGTACAGGCATTGCTGGCGAAACGCTTCGAAGGAAAGGTGCAAACATGTTGTACTGCTGTACCGTTTCCTGCAGGCCATGTGCTGCGCATGAGCTGACGTCTGCTTGGCTAGTCTGGAGTTCCCGACTACTCTCTTTCAGGAGCATGTTCTACGGTGAGCTGTGTGGGTATTCCGCATTTCTAGGAGCATATGCTTATCTTCATCGGTGAGCTTGTCTTTATGCATTTTAGCACGAAAATCTGCATTGAGCTATTTGTCTTTATGCATGTTCGGAACATACTCTACCGTGAGTTACTTTGTGTTTATGCATTTTTGGAGCGGTACGGTGAGCTATTTTGTCTCTATGCTGTTTAGGACAAATCCAACTCTTCAAGTTGCTGTGTTCAGCAACTGTGAGCATGTGCGACATGCTGTAACCTACCTAAGGGCTCCTATGCAGTACCTTCTTGGGGTAGTATACTCGAATCCCCTAAACCCTAAACCCTAAATCCTGAACTAACCCACAAAAAAGGGAACTACATTGGAGCCATCAGGTACAGCTCTTTGATTCCCAAAGACCAGAAAAAGCGACATTCGACCTAAGAAGTGCAGGCTGCCATGGGTCCCTAAACCCTAAACCCTAAATTTAAACCCTAAACCCTAAACCCTAAACCCTGAACCCTAAACCCGTCCTCGAAGGTCTCGTGCAGGCGAAGGATGTTGGGATGGAGGAGCCTTCGCTGAACCTTCACCTCGCGCTCCATCTGCGGGACCATGTTGCGGATCTGAAGCGGATGCTTCTCCACGACCTGAACACAGGAAAACAGCCTAGCTAGGGTTTAGGGTTTAGGGTTTAGGGTTTAGGGTTTAGGGTTTAGGGTTTAGGGTTTAGGGTTTAGGGTTTAGGGTTTAGGGTTTAGGGTTTAGGGTTTAGGGTTTAGGGTTTAGGGTTTAGGGTTTAGGGCCCAAGTGCGATAGCATGGTGACATCTTCGTTGCTTGCACCGAGGGCGCCTTCATTGCGAGTTCGCGGCCCGTCCCGATGTCTTGCATTCGGCACACGCGGGCAACGGCACCTGCTTGCGCAGCATAAGAAGCCACCGTTTAGGATGCATGATTCATGGGCGTCATGGGGCACAATGCGGGCGAGTCGGCCTGAACCCAAGCTGTGGGTGTCAATGAGCCTGTACTTCTGCATGAGAGGCCCAGGCAAACGCTGAGGCATTGTTGTCAGGGTGTCCTTAGTCAAGTAACTAGCCACATTCATGGTCGATACAGTGATACAGATCATAAATCCCGACGTGACCTCGGGATGCAAGTTGCCACTGGGGCCCTTGCTGGCTGTCTGGGCGTGGCCATCTGTTGGCATCGATCGGAGTCGGGCAAACGAACTGGCGGAATATCCTTGACCAGATTCTCGGATTCTCATGATTCCCCAAAGCCAAATTTCGAAGTCGATGTCTTTGCTGAGATTGAGAGACCGACGCGCGCCACGTCTGCAGGTTCCGCGGGCCTCGCGAGTCCACATCTCCCTTGACTTTTGATTTGATTCGGGGTTGCTGTTGAGGAACACACCACTAACGTTCATGGCTGAGGATCTAGGGTTAAGGCTCAGGAAACCGCACTAGGCACCGTACATATATATATATATATATAGATATACATGCATCTATGTACCCCAGTTATTATTGTGACTTAAGTGACCCCGTTCGGCCCGTGTAGACTGGACCAAACAGTGCCCCTGGTAGCGGGGGGCGAGGGGGGGGGGGGCTCTCTCTACCAGAATAGTACGTTGGTGTCTATTCCACGTATTTCCTCATAGAGCTCCCCTAAACCCTACACCCTGAACCCTGAACCCTGAACCCTAAACCCTAAACCCTAAACCCTAAACTCTAAACCCTAAACCCTAAACGACCCTGGGCCCACCTGGGCTCTGACCTCTCTGATCGCTCCTCCGCAGAGAGCTCCGGCCTGAGAGCAGCCGGACAGCAGAGGATCCCAGGAGCTCCTACGTCTCCTCACAAGGCTGCGGCGGGCTGATCCCAGTGCCTGAGCCGTTAATGGGGTTCGGGTATGATCTTTAAATAAATAAACAAGTAAATACATATATGTATATATATATATACATATAGATAGACATCAAAGACGAGTAGGAAGTTTAGCTGACTCAGATGGCTTCAGTAGCTGAGCGATTGCCTGCGACATGCTTGCCTAATGCTCAGTGCAGAGCTTGCTGATGCGAGTGATGAGTTCTCCGTCTGCTTGAGAGCCACGGGCACCTGGTCAGGTGAGGGAGCAACGGAATTATGTCCAGGGCAAATGGCAGTGCTGGCATGCCGCCAATGCCTCCAGTTGAGAGCGTCGCATGCGCCTGGGCGGTCTGTGAACGGCTTGCATACACAGGTCGCATCTGATCAGACTCTTCACTTTGCAGCTTCTATGAAAGAACGGATCTGGCTTGACTTTAAAGAGGGTCCCACTCTGGACCCTCAAACCATCACAGGGTCCTGAAAAGCCCGGCCAACTCGACTTTTTTGAGGGGGCCCCTATGCATGCGCGTCCAACATCTAGAGGCCATGAGAAGGTAATGAGCTGAGCCAAGGCACTCTTCCAAAGAGAGAGGTGGTGGTTCACAGCCCTCAGTTTTGGCAGTTCAGGTTTCGGGTTTAATTAGGGTTTAGGGTTTAGGGTTTAATTAGGGTTTAGGGTTTAGGGTTTAGGGTTTAGGGTTTAGGGTTTAGGGTCTAGGGTTTAGGGTTTAGGGTGTAGGGTTCAAGCTCTGGACTGCCAACGCTACGACTGCCTGGGCGCCGGGCCACAGCTCTCAGGAAGAAGTGGCAGTTCATATCCACGAACGCCGCGATGCGCCCTAGGTAGCGTCATCCATGCGGGAGGCAAACGACAATATAGGAGAAGCCGATGGCTTGGGATGTTCCCTTATGCTAGCAGCTCCTCAATAGGGATTCTAGTACCCCCTAAACCTAAACCCTAAATCCTAAACCCTAAACCCTAAACCCTAAACCCTAACCCTAAACCCTAAACCCTGAGAATCCCAATTAGGGAGCTGTTAGAAAAAAGGGGCGGACATCGCAACCGATGGCCACGGAAAAGCGACCCGAGGCCGAAGCGCCAGATTTCCGGCTTCTCCATGATCTGCTTCCATAGTTGGTCCTCAAAAGTCGGTTTAGGGTTTAGGGTAGAGGGCTTAGGGCTTAGGGCTTAGGGTTTAGGGTTTCGGGTTTAGGGTCTTGGGTTTCGGGTTTGGGGTTTAGGGCTTGGGGTTTGGGGTTTAAAGTTTCCGAAAGTAGGGGTACCTTCTTGGGGTCCTGACTAGACGGGAGTCCTACTCTTTGGGGGGTCTATATTCGGGGTCCCCTAGTTTCGTAAACCCCCATACGGAAAAAACGTGGGCGCAAGATCTATATATAACCGTTGAACCCTCAACCTCCTGTAGGAATCCCCAACGAGGACTGAGAGCTTGAAGCCAAACTCCATCGCTGTTCACTGCCGCCACAGCACTGTAGGAGGGTCCGCAACTCCGAATACACCAAACAAGGCTTAGGGCTACAGGGCCTGAGACTCTCCTGCAGTCTTTGAAGTTGTTCCAAGTCCCTCCCTCCATGCAACACACGGAAGAGTAGAGAGTAGCGCCAAGCATGCGCATCATGAAGCCCTCAAGTGGCCTGACTGAGGGCCATGTCGGGCTGCACATCTCGGGGCCTCCGACATCTATTCTGGCAATTTAGGTGCTGCTCTCAATCTAGAGGAATCTTGCTCCCCACCTTGCATGTCTTGTTGAGCACCACTAGAGCCCTCTGTGCAACGCATCATGACCTGCAACCCTTTCAACCCTAAACCCACCATGGCCGCGGCCAGAACACGGCTTCGGCGACACGTTTACAACAGTCTTACAACGCCCGGCCAGCCACACAGACAAAAATGATGCACCCGTCGTGGCTGCCGACCCAGGGCCGCACAATTTTTAGACATCCGGCAACCCATAGCCCCAGCGCTGCTAGCCTTAACCCTCTCCATTGGGGCTGGAGGGGCTGGGCTTGAAAGAAGCGAGCCCCTAATGTATTTCATCACTGTTAAATAGAAGCTGAAACATCCGGACGCTAAGTTACGGGGAAATTGCAGCCATTGCCTCATACTACCTCCGATGGGATTTCAAGTTGGCCATCCTCAACAGATGTTAACAATTCTCACCGTACCCTTGTTGTCGGGAATCAGAATCATCACTCAACCAAGCCTAGTCGCTATAATAGCCTCCTATAGTCTGCCACGCCACAGAAGCCTCTGCGTCCTGGCAGCAAACATGCTGTTCAGCTGTCGGAGAGCGTCCTCCACAGCAATATTCGAGCGATGCACTGAAGCTCTGCTGTCGCTGCTCGTAGATTTCCACTGCGCAGGACTGCCCTGTCCTGGATCGCCTCGGCTTGCCTTTCGGTCTCACGCAGCTTGCCTGTCACCTCCTCCATCTGCGTGTGGATAACCGTCCTCCAGGGGCTATGACTGACAACGAATTGCTATGAAAATACTCTTCTTTGTAAGGGTAATATATAGGGAGTATTACTTTCATTTTATATATATATATATATATATACATGTTTTTTGTTTTGTTGGGGGGGGGCTCTCAAGCAAACAGTAGATGAATCCAAGCATGGTCACCTGCCCTTCCCCGGAGTTTTGTGGGCCTGTCGCTCATCGCTGTAGCGGGCTCTGCCGACACCATTGAGCGGCTCTACATGAAATGGAGAACTGCTGTTTGTCTCTGCTGCATCATAAGTGACACTTGAGATTGATTCACATCAATGTCAGGGATGGCATGCATGGAGAGGGAAGTCCGAAGCCTTCGCGCAGGCATGGAAAGGCAGCTTGATGCCGAGTAACTAGAGCGATGAAACACCATGCTCCAAACATCGTGACTTGCACATCGTAGAATGTTTCGTCGGAGCCAGATGGACCCGATGTGTCAGGAGACAGTGTGGAGACCGACAAAACTTGGTAGCATTGATGCGTGAACTGCTACTGACGCCCATGCCTCTACACAACCTTGAGGTGCGGGCAGGGCGGGGGTTCCTAGCCGAATGTTGGAATGCTTCTCTGGGCAGTCTTGCTGCTGCTCTTGTCGTCCAACATTGTTTAGTAGCCATGGCGGGAACGAGAGCGCTGCGGCGTCCAACCCTATAGAACGATGAGGAAGCACCACAACACTCTGAGCCTATCTAAAGACAAGGACAAGATTGACATGGACTGCGTGCCCGATCAGGAATCGTTCAAAGCCAGCACAACTGCCTCACTTTTGTCGTCTGTGTGGCCAGAAGCGGACACCAGACGCCACATGGCATGCACCCGTGGTTACAAGATGATACACGCCATGCTTCGCACAACGACACAAAAGATCACTAAAGCGAGCTGAATATAGTAGATCCGTCCGGCACCTGCTTTCGATGGCGATCAATTCCAGAGCACCGCACTTCTTCAGCAAAGGCCTTTTAATGAAATTGGAGCTGTGATGCCGGAAGTTCAGAAGCATCTAACGAACAACGTGCAGAGTATTCACCCCGCACATACACCGTCGCAGAGCACCGAGCCCAACTCGCAAGCCAAGCACCAATTCCATCAGTGCTGGTCACATGACCCTGGCTCCAGCTCTGTTCTGTACAGCCCTTCTCACCCTTCAAACCTCAACCCAAAACTCAAACCCCTCGTCAACTTTCAATCGACCGAGGCTGCGAAGATGGCCAGGAGGGCTGTCACCTTTGGCCGGGGGTCAGTTTCAAGTTGCTGCCACACACCTCTCCCAGTCCTTTTGCCTGTACATAACCCGCTCAGACTTCGTACGTAGTGATCTGCGTTTGGCTTGCATGCAAAAGGTATCGTTTTGTCACGCCATCACGTTCGAAGTCGCGACACTATACCTTGCCACGCGGGAAAGCCTGAAGTCAGGACACGTCGCGCGAAGTCGAGCCATATGCACCGTCGCAATACCGGAGTGCGCATGTGCTCTGCAACTTCTGAAACGAGGATTTCTATTGTCATGTGCAGACAGATATTAGGTCCGAAAACCATCAAAACTCTGCCAATTAAACACAACGTGCACGCGCTTTTCAGACACGAGACAGCGAAATTCACAATATCATATTGAAACAAAAGTTCGCGCGAGGCTCGCGCGAGCTTGCGTGAGACACGCGCGAGCACGGGGAAAGGAACTGACTGTTGGTTAGTCTAGCCGTGCACAGGTTGACATACTGAGGACCTAAAGCGACTCGTACTGCTTCAAGTGATCTGTTCAAGGTAAGTCCATGCTTCTTAGCAGGGCTCTTGGCATGGCTCGGTAGGAATGCTTCCCCGGCATGTGCATGTGCAGAGATACAACTTCAAGTGAGTTCAATGCCGGCCCATGCTTTACAGATATCGCTTGGAATGGATTCCCCCCCCCCCCCCCCCCCCAGTGTGCACGCACAAAGCTGCGATGGGCACGGCACGACTGAGTGGAACAAAAGGTGACAGCTGGGGTGACATTTAGCAAAGACATCACCTCCTATGTTGACACATGTTGAAAGGAATACTTCAGAAGATCGAGCTTGAATGATGAGGAATTTCCCCTCCCGCGGTACACGCAGACAGACAGAGACAGAGACAGAGAGTGAGTGAGTGAGTGAGTACATGAGAGTGAGTACGTGAGAGTGAGTACGTGAGAGTGAGATTTTGAGCATGAGTGTGAGTTCGTGAGAGTGAGAGACTTTTAATTTTAAAATATCTGCAGAGGATGCCATCCGGAGCCTAATCGCTGCATCAATGGCCTCCTGGTCCTCTTCGGTGGCCTCCAGCCATGGGAAGTCGACCGGGTCGACGCGGCACTACGATGCTCGCCATTGTCTTCAAGCATCCTTGAAGCTGCTAGGGTTTAGGGTTTAAGGGTTAAGGGTTAAGGGTTTAGGGTTTAGGGTTGAAGGTTGAGGGTGGAACATGCCCCTTGCCAAGACGAGCCAGAACTGACAAATGCGCAGGCTGACCATTCTGAAGCAAAAACAAAAAGAAAGGATTGCACCCTGCATCCGGGCACCCTACGCAAGCTTTTCGAAAATCGTCAAAAAATAGGGCCCGCACCCCTCCTCGGCTTGCTCTGGTGTCGTAAGCTCGCCGATCTCGGCCTTGTGGGGAAAATGTGGGCAGGAGGTATGGGGTGTCGGTCTGGCGGGTAGGATATAGGACATCTCAACGCATCTCAACCCCACAATCCTCTTCCCCTGAACGCGCGATCAGCTCCAATGCCCGCAGCCTTTCAAAACCCTGACCCCGCCGCAGCCGTCCCAATCCCAAAGCAGT